TCCAGCTTCTTCTTGGGTTCCCTGCTCGGCCTCCTTCCGGGAGGGGGCCGCTGCCCACCCTCCCTCTCCCCGCGCCTGGCTGAGCGCGCGGCGGAGGGGCCTGGGGCCCGGAGCTGCCCACCGCCCACCCCACCTCCCGCCCGGCGCCGGGGTTTCTCCTCCCGGCCACTCTCCCCCGCAACTTTCCGTGCTTTGTTCTCCGGCTGGAAATGATTTACGGAAGCGTCTTGGACAGGGTCTCCGCCAGGCGGCAAGAGCCCGGCGCTGAGATGTGTTACGTTCTCATCTGCCCATCAATTATGGATGGAAACAAATAAGGAAGAGTCAATTTTGCATGAGCCCCTTCTCCCGCGGCGAGAGGCGTTCTGCAGCCGGGAGAGAGCCGCCGCTCCGGCCGGCAGCTACTGGCAGGGGGATGGTGAGGAGGAAGGTAGGGAAACTTTTATTTCCAGTCTTGACAGCGATGTTTGTTTCTGGGGCTGCCGCCTTGGGGGAATTGCGGAGGGGCTTAATGCTTCCTCTGTCGTGTCTAACTCTTGGATCGAAAATAAAAAAAGGTCATAAAGGACTTAAAGGTGTGGATGAAAACTGGGTTCAAAAATTGTCTGCTACATCGACTCTCGGGGCCAGTGCTTGTGAGGTGATTGTTTAAATCCTGAACTTGTGGGAAGCTAAGTGTCAAGGAGCTAACGCGGAATAAAGTAGCGGCGTTAATTACAACCCTAGAGGAAGCCAGGGGAGAGAGAGCTCCCTGTTCTGAGGTGACCAGTCAGTAACCCAAGTTCCAGCATCCCAACCCCTCACCGCTCTAGGCTGCGCGATTTTCCGCTCCAAAGGGACAGTGAATCATCATTGTAGATATATAGACTTTGTAAACAGTAATTGGACCTAGGTCCACCTCTACAGGCGGCTACTTTCCCATAAAAATAACGGTAGTGTTTCCAGTTTCTAGGGGAAATAAGTGTCTAGGGCAATTTTCCCAAGAACTTCCAGCTACTAAGAATTTTAAGTCTGCAGGATCTACCTGGTATTTGGGGCAAAGGAGCGGATTGTTTTGTTTATTTCAAGGTTGAAGTCCTAGGGAAAGGTTTAACATAAATTGGATTGTCTCTGTTTCTCAGAATAGGAGGTATAACTTGTTTGGAGAATTTCTTTCAGGGTTTCTTCCTGGTAGAACTGAGAAATCTAATCTTAGACAGCTCAGGGTGATGATTTTACTATCCTTGTTGGTGGTTTAAACAATAGGTTTTGAAGCCGGTTTATTCATGTTGTTAAAAAATCCCCCTGGCTCTCTTAGCTGTCTAACTCAGGAAATTAAGTTGTGTGTAGTCATGTTTAATGTAGTGAGTGACAGGCATATTCTGTCAACCTGGCAAATAGTACACAAACGTCTGCCCTGGCTTAGCTAAATAGAAACGGCCACATAAGCTCTGAGATGTGGGCCTATATTATCATGAACTTAAACATCTGAAGGTAAATGAACTATAATAGCTCAGCCTTTACCGAGTCTTGTTTTTTATAGCGAGTGCCTGTGCTTTGATTTAGGTCTCTAGAATGTGCTCTCAGAAAGACAGTTCAAGAAGTAACCCTCAGATTTCCCAAATATGTTGTTCAGCAGACCATTTTCCGCCATTGGCACATTTAGTCAGATCAACAACCGCTTCCTATTGGTTCCCGCAGAATAATGCCACCTGTCCTCCTTTCTTGAGGGGCGCTGCATAGGTAAGCTTTTGTGAGGAACGGGTCTGTGATGCAGGACGGTGTGCTGGGAATATGGCTATTTCCCCATCACCAGAAAGCTGGTTAACTTGAGTTTGATTTAGATTTGTGGGCGTTCTGCCCTCTTCCCTGCTGTGTGGTATGTGTGTGTGTGTGTGTGTGTGTGTGTGTGTGTGTGTTCATTTGTTGTTGTTGTTGTGTGTTGTTGTTTTGTCCTATCTCCTCCCCTGGTTTGATGGATTTGAAAGATGGCTGTGACGTCAACCTATTAGTCCTTACAGGGAGGACAGCTTAGAGATCCAGTGGCCTTCAGTTCACTGGCTGCTGGCTGCGAGGGAGGGATCTGTCCAGTAACTGCTCTGGGTAAGTGGGCCGCTAGCCCCTGTGCCGTGGTGGTTTCTGCTGCTTGAAAGGCACACAGGCAAGTAGGCAGGAATAGAGCTTCGATTCACAAAAGATGCCCGTAGTTTTAAGGACTTACTGAAACTAGAGAAGTTCTTCACTTCTTGCTGCTCCATCATAATGAACCTTGGTAATTAGCTTAGTCATTGTTCTCGCATGTGAATTTCACTAAGATACAAGGAGTGAAAAATGCATCCGAAATAGGGTCATTTTTCACCCTCCTGATGCATTTTATGCAGAGTTAAGAGCCTGGCTGAATGCCTAACCATTATTGGTGTAACCATAGGAGGTGAACTCCTTCCTTAGCATATTGCAGACTAAAATATTACCTTTTATTTCAATTAATAGACTTTAACCTGCACGTTCTAGATTCATTTCTAGAGGAAGCAAGAGGCACCTGGGGCATGCCAACCACTCCGTATTTATTGTTACCATTCGCAAGGAGCTGTGCTAGCTAGTGTTCCAGCACCAGGCTCGGCAGGCAGGTTTCTGTATGTTCAGTATAAGTAAGAATGAAAAAAATAGAGAACGGCAAAACATACCATTAGGCAAGAAATGCAAATATGCGCCCCTTTTTGGAAGTATAGTGTGTGATCCTAGAAATTTTAAAGCGAGATTGATTATACCAAATATAGTCAGAGGTCCAGCCTTCCTGCTTTCAACACTGAGGATCCAATGTACTATTAGTGTAATTCTCATATTGAAAGTGTCATTAGAGTGGGAGGTCTCACTTTCCCAGACTCATGTGAATGGAGACGTAGCACGTTACCATCCACCAAAGCTCATGTCTGAGGTTGCCGCTTATTTTGTGAACTGCTGCCAACTTCCAGTTGGGGAAAAGAGTGTGTTTTGATTTATTCCCATGACACGAGGAGGGAATAAAAAGCATACAACTGTACTGAGCATATCATAATCCTTTTTAGTTGAGGTGGCTGTCATCTGGCTGACTTTTCCTCTTCAGCCCCTGATGGCAGAGGCAGCGCAGCTGATAACGGAAGCTGCAATCATTCATCCCAACAGGAAAAGGAGGAAACTTTCTTCTTCACAAAGCAACTGTTCATGTAACCAGGGGCGACCAAATGAGTGGTCCACATAGGTACCACATGAGGTGTACCGAGTTCTCAAACTTCTCTTTTCTATGAAGCTTCTGTTAACTCACCCAGATTAGCATTTTAACAACCCTGAAGTGAACTTCTGCCATTCTCTCTACTTGGACACAGTGTGTAGATCATCCATCATCCTGTCCTTGGCTACAACAGGCTGCTGGCTCCATCACCATTTGGAGCTACACAGAAGCCATCCGACTGTGAACGGCACAGCTGGCTACAGCAATCTTTTCTTCCACACCACTGGCAGCATTGTCTGGCTGTGGTAACTAAAGTTAACACCCAGAACGGGAAGTTTCCATTGTTTGGCAACCTGTGCCGGGCCCCTCATCCAGTTCTGGGGGCCCACCTGCAGAAAGGCTGGCTGGAAGTGGTGTGTTCCACTTAAGAGGGGACTTGTCCCAACCTTCCACGACCCACAGGAAAGCTTCCTTAGCCTTGATACGATTAAACCACTGGGATTGCAGCATGAAAAGGAGCCATTCAGACACCACTCAATCCTCGACCTTCAGAATTCTCTCTATCTGAAAAGAGGAAGAAAAAAATGAAGTAGCCTTTAGCTTGTGATCCCAAAAAACTGAAAACAGAAAAGACCTTGTCTAATTCTTTGGAGACTTGAACAGGTTACTGCTTCATCCCTTTTCACAAAGATCATGGGCTGTGCCTCCATTGGGACCCGTGGCTAATAGTATCCAATGATTTCTATCACTTTTTTCTTCTTCATTTTACTCAATAAGAGATCAGCTACAGTCGTCTTTGCTTATTAAAGCAAGAATGACATGAATTAGGTGGATGTATTTGTTAGGTTATGTTGCCAACCTTAAAAAGAACTTTTCTAATTAGAAGTGCTGCTCTTGGGGTTTGATGCCTCATGTTCTGGCAGGCGATTGTATCCTTGCTCCTTTTCCTAATATTTACTAATGAAATCGGCCACCAAACAGTTGG